TTAAATAATAACAGTTGTGCAAATCGTATTCCTGTTTAATATCAGAAAGTGAAAACTAAAACAGACCTGATAGACTATGCTTAAAAATCCCGCATACTTAGATCAACAAATTAAAACATATTTTTAGCTTGAAGATAATTTAAAGAGTGTTAACGCATAAGAAAGCTTATATGTCATTTATAGATTTCCATTTCCTTTTTTATCATATTTAAAGTCAAAGTAATTTTAAATTTTTATAACTTAATTTAAAAGATCTTAAGAAGTAATAAGTCATGTTTATTAAACAATTCCAATCAGCTTTACAAAATAACATTTGCTTTACTCTTAAATAAAAGTGCACTCATTCTTATTCTACTCAAAAAAATCACTAGCTACTATCCTAATCCATTAATCCTATTTTTTTTAAAACGTAGATTTATATTTTATTCTTATAAATTAATCAAAATAGGTGTTTATCAACTATCCATATCTACTACATATCCTTTCTGTGATTTTTTTGTAAGTTTTCTTTTATATTTTTGTAAGTTTTTTGTGATTTTTTCGTTTGTTTTCTGTCAGTGCGCGGCAAGAATTTGACATTCCGAGGTCTCGGGTTACGGCCATGGGAACAGAAAGAGTTCGAATTGGATTTGGCCGGCGCAGGGGCTTCCCCCTCCCCTCCCCCGCCGCACCGCCGTCTCCCATTAGCGCTGCTGTCAGAGGTCCCAGGGGATCCGTTGGGGAGGCATGGCATCAAAGGCCCCCATTGACAGAGCTGCCGAGTTGTTGTCATCATCTGTCCACGGGCGGCTCCTTTCAGCTCCTTTGAAGTCGGCTACAAAATTAATTGCATGCTACACAAATCCCTCCTTGGCCCATCTGGCAAACTAAAAACTAAAAACTCTAAATCAACAATCATCATAACTATAACTTTGTGCTGGCCCAAAGGGAAGGGGCGTGTGTGCTGTCAACATGCTGCCAGTTGCTTTGCTCGCTTCATTTCCCTCCCCTCGGAATTTTCAACACTTTTGTTGGGAACACACTTGACTCTTGCCATGCCAAATCCCACGCAATACACACAGAAAAAATTGGGTTAAAAATAGCAATGCTGTGTTTGAAGTGGGACCTTTGGTAATCTCTGGAGCTAAGGAATCAGCTCAAAGTTCTTACAGTCCTTATAAGATGTATGCTTTGTTCTATTTGTAGAATTACTTACGAATTCGATCTTATTTCTTTTTCACATTTTTCTTAATTAATATTTTATGTAAAATATATAAAAAGGTATAATTGTTATTAGCTTAAATTATAAGTTATATAGTTTATTTTAATATTTGGTACTTTTGCGTAATCAGATTATTACAAAATATATTATTTTTACATATGTATGAATGTTTGAATTTCGAAAACCTGGGTTGGTGTCCTCTGGGGCAAAGGATTTGAGCTCAAAGTCCTTTCAGTCCTTATAATATGCATGTTTTCTTTGTTCTATCTTAAGAATTATTTAAAAATTCGTTTCGTCTTTCTATTTTCAAATCTGAATTTACATTTTTAGCAAAATATTAAAAAATTGATATTTGAATACAGCTTGAATTAAAACTTGTATAGTTTGTCTTAATCCCAGATTCTTTTTTCCCTTAGATTATTAAAAAATTTATTATTTATGGAAGTTTGAATAGAAAAACGTGGTTCAAACTGTTAAATTCTTGTTCAAGTAAAAAATATATTTTTTAATTATACAAAATTCCAATTCCCTAATTTCAGAAACCTAGTATTTTTTACAGTGCTTCGGCAACACGAACATATGCAATGCTCCCCATCCGCCCCTCACATGGAGTTTCCGGCTTTTGTGTGCATTTTGCACTCTGTTTCAATTTAATTACTTTCGAGTTACGCAACCAGGACAGGACAAAGTTGGCCGGGATGTAAATGGAGCAGTAGCCGAATGATTTAGTTGTCCTCAAAGTCCAACGCTGCAGTCTTCAATTTAAAATTCATAATTCACATATTAAATTAAATGTGAGGGAAATCCTCTGCCGAAATCCTCAGCAAAGGATATCACAGTTGTTGGTGCGAGCGGACTGCTCCAGGATTCGTTTGCGCAAATTTGCATTTATCGATTGGAGGAGTCGACAGGTCCGAGCGGAGGCTTTTCAGATTTCTACTTTTTGCTGTTGTTTTTTTGGTGACACACAAAAAATAACAACACAATTTGCATAAACGTCAACAGCAGCAGAAGCAAAAGAAACAAAGTGTGGCAGCTGTTGCAGCAGCAAGGAAAAACAACATCGGAATAAGTAAGTAGGGGGCACAAGGACCGGATAAATCGGACGGGAGGATAGGATGGGATACCTGATTTTTAAGTTGGGACAGAGAAGCCTGCTGTCAATTTTATGAGCTGGATCAAAGTCCACAAATATCAAAATATTGGAAGTGAATTACCTTTGTTTTGCCTGCTTGAAATAAATATATAGTATATACTAAGTTGGTACTAACACAAAAAATTAATTTTGTAAGGATCGATTTTGTTCACAATAAAATATTAAAAGAAAACTTTAAACTAAACAAACGCTTTCTTTTTACTTTTTAATTAATGCAAACCAATTATTAAAAGTTCCCAATGTATCATCATTTCTTTTCGGTACTATAAGTATATTAGTTGTTTATATGCAAAGAGCTTATACTGGAAAAAAGGTTTGCCCTGCGTACATATATGAAAAACTTTTTAAAAAATAAAAATATACAAAAATAAAACAGAATTCTTTTAAATATAGAATTGAATCAATTTCCTAACATGTTTTTCAGATATAATAATTTGAACAACGCTTTAGTTAGTAAAGGTTACCATATTGTAGTTTAATCAGCTATCCCATTATAACTAGCTTTTAACATGATTTCTTAAAGTTTTTAATAAAAAAAGATAGAAGAGTTAAACAAATTATATCACAATAATACGATGGTAAAGACAGTATTAAATGGTTTCGTAGCCATGCAAAGGTACTTGATGCCTAGTTAAAACACACGTAGATGACCTCGGTTGCGTACTCACTTTTATTACTCCCCTACCGACTGGAAACAAGTATGTTTGCCAAATTCCCAAACTTTCCCAACAAGTCTCCTTATGCCCCCTATTTAAGTACCAAAAGTCCAATTTTGTTGACCAAAAAACCCTTTCCCACACTACACATGAATATTTTTTGGCATAACTTTATTGTGGCTGTCACGGTTATGACCGTTGTTGCTTTTGTTGGCAACTTTAAAATGCATTCGAACACGGTTAAAAGTTGTCTGTGTGAGTGGGTGTGAGTGTGTTTGTGAGCGTTCAGGGGGCGGAAAGTAGGCGTGGCCCAGAGGGCGGGAGCAGCAGGAAATGTATCCCATAAGGAGTAGACCAGAAACAGAACCGAGCGGAAGGCACTTCCTGTGGAGCTCTGAGTGAGTCAGTGTGTGTGCTCCTTTGCATCGGTCCTCGTACTGTCCTGGCTCTATCCCCGTCCCGCTCCCACTCCGCACCCTCTCGCTCGCTCCTTCCGCTCGGCTCGATGCAGATAAGAGGCATATACGCTTGTCAAGATTTGCTTTGATGTCTTTTTCATGTGCCCGACTTGGGTGCGGCCTGCTCCATGTCCAATGCTCCACTCCTACACGGTAAAGAATATTTAGGTCGGAAAAGTATATGTTTAAAATATTTGGAAAATATAGGCCAATTTTCAATACAGAATTTACAAAGCTTTGTCCGAACTCTCCTTATGTTCTCGTAGCTTTGCAGATGTTCATAAACCTTGAAAATTTTGATTATGGGATTGTTTATAAAAAAGTAAAACATATTTTGTTGGCGTATATTAATTTCCTTTAAACAATAAATAAGTTGGTGAAATTACAAATCTGGAATTTTTAAAAAATAGATATATTTGGAAAATGAAAGCTTACTTCCAACACAGAAATTACAAAGCTTTGTCCGAAGTATTTTTATTTTCGTGTAGTTTTTGTAGGAGTTCAGAAACCTTGAACATTTTAACTAGTGATTTTGTTTATTAAAACTTGAACTTACATATTATTTACCATAAAATATTTGGTAAAATCACAAAATAACTACTAAACTACTTCTTTTTTTACTGTAAAATCTTTTGAGGTTTAATTGTTCTTAGTTTTTCTTTTTTTTACGGTTTACAAGGAATAACTTTTTTTATAAATTAAAATAAGTGGGTTAACTGTCAGAAATGTCTTTGTTTGAAAAACTTTTAAGCAAAGTTCATGCGATTTTTAAATTCGGGTTTAAAATGGTCCTTGAACCACATTTACAAAGAGGCATTCTCGGAATACATTTTCCTCCCAGTGTATGCCTCTGTTTCTGCTTAGCTCTACCGCTCTTGTATCTTGTGTGGGTTGACAACAATTAAAAAGTGACGGGCACAACAAATCGCCAGGAAGGGGTGCGGATGCCAAGGGGTGGCGGGTCTACCAACTTAAGTAGCAGCAAATACACAAAAGCAGAATCTCCTTTAGAACCATTTCAATTGCCTTTTGTTTATGCGAGAGATTTCCCCGGCCAGCCCCTCGAATTCGCTTTGAAGTCGGGCATTTCCATGGGTCCGCCACGGTGTGAGCAAGTTTTATTTTGGGTAGCAAAGAAATTTTATTAGCAAAGGGTTGGGAAAGCGCTTTGAAGTTCAAGTGTAGGCGCAGCAGCGGCCCCATTGATATATTTATTTCCCCACACAATCATTCGCCTTGTGGCCGTCCCAAATTGAAATATCGCATCAATTTGCCATGCCGCCGTCGCGCTTTGTAATAAAAGTAAATAATAATTTAATAAAAAGGCAGCAAAAACCACCGCAACTACAAAACGAAACACCGAAATGCGGCGCAAAAAAATCGAAAATCGAGTGAGCAAAATCAACCATTAAACGCTGCCGGCAAAGAACAAAGTCGAGGCAACAGACCGGCAAAAAGCCGACAACAGCTGGCCGAAAAGAAAAAGGCTGAAAGCGCTGCTCGGCGAAGGGGCGGCAGTATCGCCCTCTATGTGTCAGTTGGCCGACAGCAGCCCACCGTCGAATCTGCCGCGCATGCGCAGAGCCCCGATGTGTGTGGTTTCCAGTGCTGCCAATCGAAAGCACCGAGATTCAAGTAAGCGGATCAAAAAGTTTCCACATTTATAATACAAATAAATTCAATGTTATTAATACTATCCATAGGGATATCTAAAAACAATAAAACAGGGTCTGTTTGCTTTCATTTTATGATACTATGGTGTATAATGTTATGTGATTCTAGTTTTAGAACAAGCGGCGATCCCATTTTTATTAAGTTCCTTAATTAAATAAACTTAATGAAGGAAATTAATATTCGCAAGTCTCGCACTTCGCCATATAGTCATTAAAAATTATATACAAGCGATATTACCTTAGATGTAGGGGTAGATCTGTAGGTTGGGAAGGTCTGTAAGTTAGGACAGTCAGCTGCCTTTAATGTTTTCCACTTAATATATTTATTTACTTTTTTAAAAACTCTATACAAATTCAATAACTTCATTTATATAAATGGAGTAGGGTTAGAAAATAGTTCGATATAAGGATTTTAATTTTAAATGCAAGTATATATTTCGTGTAACTCGGAACATCATTCAAAAAAGTACTGTCTTACCAGATAAAATGGACAAATTGGCAGCACTGGTAGAGCGCGGTTTGAAGTCGTTCGAGATGCCGATGCCAACCGCTTCAAATTGATTTGAACGAGCGCAAGAGCTTTTGGACAAGTTGATAAGAGCGGCAATCCGACAGCACCGTTTTGCTGTGGTTGTTGTCGGTTTTAATTTTGAATACCCTTTCCGAGAGTATTGTCAATAAATAACTAACTTTAAGGATAGTTTCTGGCCGTAGCGGCTAAACGGCTCGTATAAAACGCGCGCCGTTTTTAATGAAGATACCTTAGAGCACCAGAGTGGGATACCAAACATTTTAACTTCGAACGCTATCATATGAAAAAACTTATGAATTTATTTCTGTAAATGTCAGATTTAAAAAAAAACTTTCCTTTTGTTCGAGACACATTATTTGACATTAGTCACTCGTAAGATTTTTTAACCGGTTTTTCTATTTTTATCATGCAACAACTAGAAACACTCCCTGTGGGGCAAGGATAGTTGAAGGTAGTATTTGATAATACGGATTTTGTTAAAGAAAATATGTAGTTTCCATGCCATGCCAGTTATACTGCCAGTGGTAGTCATGTGCTGTAGATCAATAAAGCCAAAATTTAATTAACATAAATTAGGTTTTTCGCGTCAAATACCTATAGCCCCAATTTCATATCCATTCGAAATAAAAAAACTTGGGTTTCAAGGGTCCAATTATGTTTAAAAAAAATGGTTGCCATATACCATTTTCAGCGCTATACATTTATAACTATTTTTACCCGAATACTGGGACAAGTATAGTTAAAAAAGTATTTTCACATTTTGCCACACATTTTCACATTTTGCAATTGATTACAAAGTTGTGTAGGAAAAAGTTATAGCCAAAAGAACGGGATTTCCATCGATATCACTTCAATGGTGATGACATTTTATTTGTATTTGCTATGTCCATCCAAACTTTTCCCACTCTTCCCTACTTCAATAGCTAACACTTTTACTTAAAAATAAATTGCCACTGGTAAAAATAACACAACATTTTGAAACTTTTAAAAATTTCGCAACAATATATACCATCTATACATTACAAACGGAAGAGTACACCTAAACTTCGACTTGAGAAGCTCTTCGGCCATGCTTTATCTGACTTTTTTCGCACGGGTGGCTTTCGACGTGGCTGACCTGTCCGGGGAGATTCGACTCTCGGCCGAGATGTCGGCGCAACTTCAAAAGGCGTGTGATGGGCGAATGTGTGAGGTGGCCGCCTGCGGGCCGGGCTGAAATGAACATGCGCACAAGCTGCGGAGGGGCGAAAAAATTGGGAGGAGTACCTGGAGGTGGAGGATCGGGTCTGTCCAGCTAATCAAGCATCAACTTCATCATCATCATCGCGGATGCAGCGTGAACAGTTAGTCATATAGGAAATGCATGGGTAATCGGAGGGAAAAGGAGCGGCTTGCTTTGATAAAATCGAGATAAATGTAGTTGGACTGCGTTGAGAAACTTCGAGAAAGAAGCGCTATGAGTTAACTATTGTTTTCTTATTTTTATATTTAAAAGTATTTACTGAATAATAAGTTAAAATTTGTAATATTTGTGATTATATTAAAATCTAATCGATTTTCTAGGTTTGGCTTAAACCAGGATACTGTGCTTAATCTTACCAATTGGAATTCATGTGTTCCCTTCAATGAGCCTATTATTTAAAGTATTGTAAATACAACAAATATAAATAATTATATATCTGAAATTCTTGTTATGTTATTACAATGAATTTTGTTATATTAAATTGATCGTACTTTAAAAACCATAGTTTGGATTAGTGCTCTTTTTAGTTCTTAAGCGAATAAAGCATTGAGTTGAAAAATAATATTTAAAATATTTACACACTACCTATTCTAAAAAACACCTTGGATAGCTCAAACAATACCTTTTACTTGAACTCAAACCAATGTAACGTCAATAAAATAAATTCGTTTTCTTTCAGTGCTTGAATACTAATTACCTTGATTATTTTGCAATTGGGAGTAAAGTAGGAAAGCAATTATTTGCGTATTAATAAAATTTGCATTTGTTTTCAATTTGCTCAGTAAATAAACCCGAACAAGTGCAAACCTGTTACAAAACATTAAGTTACTTTCATATATAAAAAACATTTTATGAAATGATGAGAGCGTTGGGAGTAGTCGAAAAAAGTGTCATATTATTAGTTGTTATATTTTTAATTAAAAGTTCTGATTCGCTGTTTAAAGTGACCAATATAAAATGCCAGTGCTACGACAAGACCTTTTGCGATTTTCCGCAGTGCGAATTAAAGGTATTGGGTCGAGGAAAAGTTGGCATATTTATCTACACCAAGATTTATCAGCTACCCATAAAAAAGTGCTTGTAAGATTATAGTTATTGAGTGCCAACAGTAATAACAATAATATTTGGTTATTTCCAGGTCAATCTAAGCCTGTTTAGAAAGTTTAGTGGCTATCGGCCCTTCATGTACAATGTCACCGTGGATTTCTGCGATTACATCAGAAATCCAAAGCGATTTCCCTGGTTTGGCGTAGTCCACGAAACAATGCTCAATTTCACCAACGTAAATCACAGTTGCCCATACAATGTGCTTATAATTCACTATATTTTTACAAATTGAAATTAAAAAACATTTTTTACCATTATCAGCACGACCTCATTGTATCGAAGATGGTTCTAAGTGATATAATGTTGAAGAAGACCCCTTTCCAACCGGATCGTACATGTTCCAACTGATCGCTGGCAATCCCAAGTGGCAGGGCATCACACAAATCATGACGGATGTTGTTGAGACTTAAGTTTTGCATAGATAAAAATATATTTGATGCTTTCAATTACCAATCCCTTGGACTTCCAATTACTATTACCTCTAGCAGATGAAATTCCGTCTGCGCATGCGTGAGTCCTTTTCCTCAGTAGATGTGACCAACGTGTCGTATGAGTTATGGCAATCGAATGGGCACACGTGTAGACGCCAGTCCAATGGCCAGTAAATCAAACTTTTTGGCAGGGCGTGTAAACAGTGTTATAAATCAGAAAACCGCAAGGCACCCACCAGCGACCATATTGTCCATGGAGGAAGTCAGACCACCGTGTGTACGAAGTTGGGGGAAAGACGCCCATGCAGACGGGAAAATGTGGAGGCGGATTGCAATGTGCCAGGATGCAAGTGACGCATAAAGCTATTAACATATTAGAGGAACGCAGGGTGGGTGGATGGCACATTCAGTGCATAGAAGTGCGTGTCTAAGATTTAGAGCAGTCGGAGCACCCAGCCCAACATGGGAATTTAATTAAAACCGAACACTAACTCAGCAAAATATTTTCATGTCCATGATTTAGCGATGCTGAAAATTTGAATGGATTCTAGTGGTTAGAATTTATTTTTCGTAAGCTAAAACATAGCTTTAATACACCACTCTTTACACTAAAAAACCATGAAAAAATCAATGTAATATTTGCACATTGAATTTAAATTTTCGTATTACATATTTGAATTTAATTGAAATCATACTAAAATTCTTGGTATATTTTGAAATTATTTAAATCAAGTCAGATAATATTTGGTATGATGCTATTCATATTTACTTTAAATATTTTTGTCATTAAATGTTTAAAATATTTGACCTACGATAATATTTACCTACGATTTATAAAATTAATATTTCCATAAATAAATTAATAGAAACCACCATTTATTTGTATTAAAAGCAGCGTTTTTGTATTTCATTTATATATGTAATTCGAATCAATATGCAGATATTTATTTTCAATTTTCCATTGCTTTTTCAGTGTACAATTTATAAGCATAGTTATACAATAGTGACATTAATCCGTGTCAAATCAAGTTCCTTGCAACTAAATAGTCAACATTCTTTTGTGTAAAGTTAAATTAGTTCCGTCTAATCCCAACTATTAAATCTCATACCTTTTCAAAATGTATTCAGTTTCTAAAAAATGGCCAACTTTCAATTACCTCTACAAGTCCTGAATCTTTTACTTTTCTTTCACAACACTTTGCAACACAACTTTTCTGCTCAACTGGTGAAGGAAATCGGTCAACAGACGAATGAGAGTTATGCGTTACCAGTGTTTAATATAGAATTAATTCTCTACCAAATCCATGTCGCCCAAGTGATTGACAATGATCCCAATTTAGAGAGAGACTTGATTATAGGAGAGGGAGCCTCCAAGCAAGCAAGCAAAGAAATAGAAAACTTGGGATTTATATACAAGAAAGCCTGGAGGTCCAAATTGGAGATGGTCAATAAAGTGGCGGTGCCCCAGGAACCCTTGTCAAAGAAGTTAGATCTGGTATCCGACTTGCTGGTGTCAAGTGCTAGGAAGTACGATGTAGGTAGAGATGTTAATGACTCAAAAACGTCTTCCTTGAACAAATGGTTGTCGGAAAAACAAGATGAGGTTCAGGCCAAAATAGTAGAGCTCAAGAAGACACAAAATGGTAACAAAATAGCAGCCATCAGTGGAATGTCGGTCATTCCCGGTTGGATTATTCAATTTGACTCTCAGGTTAACAGACATTTTACCAAGGGATATGGAACAGAAAAGTCGATAGAACCATTATGTGTTCCCATGATGCACTCCTTCTCCTTATTCCAAACCATGGCCACCAACGAGGCTAATGGCATATTCATCCCATTCACAGCTGCACATATGGGCATGTTGATTCTTTTGCCGAGAAAGGGCGTTACTTGCCAGGATATATTGAATAACTTAGACAGCCAGATAAATGCTGAATTGAGTTTTTTCAAAAGAATTCACTTGACACTGCCCATATTCAAGTTCGACTTTGAATATGATATCAGCAAAATTCTGGAGAAAGTAGATACTGGTGGCATGTTTGATAAGTTCAAGTTTAGTTCGAAAACAAAAATAACAATCGATGAATTCCCGATTAAAACTGTTGTCCAATTTAAATCCAATTATTCTTTGAGTAAGTTAAATATTTTTTATATTTACTTATAATATGTTTATACTTTTCCGTAGGTAAAGTAAATGACATTAAAACACGGAATACTGAAGCATTCGAAGTTAATCGTTCATTCGTCTTTGTCATCAAGGATAGAGAAACAATATATTCAGTTGGTCGTATTGAAAACTTGGATGGACTAACTGCTCAAGTGAATTGTTCAAAGGTCTAACTGAAAATAAACGAATCAATAGACTTTGTAATGATTTTATTTGGTCATATCAATAGATCTGAAATCATTCCAATTCAACCCTTTGAATAAATGAACATTTTCTATTCACCATCTGTATAATCCAAAAGTTTTCTGTTCAATTTTCACTTAAGGATGGAAAAACATCATCTTTCACTTACTTACACCGAACCTTTTTATTGAATACTTTATATCAATCTTAGCTCTCAAACATATGCCAGCAGTTTTGTTAATATTGACAATTAGTATGCTCTCAATTTTTTCATTAAAAATTCTGTGTTTGAAAATAGTAAAATGTCGAAAGATATGTGACACAGAAAAGCTTTGAGAGCTCATGAAATGCGGCCGTAATTCGATTTAAGTTCGGGTAGAGACTGACGAATGGATCGCCTGATGAATATGGATATGACTTGGATGGGGCTGTCTGGAAATGGAACCGGGTTCTCGGACGGGGATGAGTGCACACATATAGCGAGTGCATGCAGAGTGTTCGCTGAGTGATGTGCGCATGGATAATGAAGCAATGACGGCATGAATGACTGAATGAGGCGGCAACCTCTATAAGATCGGAGGGTTCCCTCAAAGGGGCAGCCGCCGATGCACGACTCCGCCAGCGACTTGAGCTCCGCTTGCGGCTTGAGCGTTTAATTAAAAGGCAACAAAAAAGGAGAAAAAACACGGAATAAAGGAAAATATATATAAAGAAAAAAGGCGGCATCTGAGGCGTCGGCCGGCAGTTGATCATTATCAGATACGGCAGCGTAGATAATGCGAGATACGATCGTGGTATTGGGGATACGGGGGGCACTAGATGCTTTTTCTGGGCAGCACTTTAAAAAATGATTTTTATTTTTCGCCCGGCCCCAAAAGTAAAGACCCCACCCTTCGCTATATGCCAGCTGTCTGTAATTTACGAGTGGAGCCCAGAATAAATGGAAAACACTATTTTGGTCAAAAGCGTGTGGAAAAATAAATGAAAATGCATAAATTATTATTTCTTTGCCTGCGGTGCGACCAAGATTTCCACTTGAGTTTGGCGGCATTACAAGATTTCTGTGTGTTGCAATTTGATTATTTATTTTGTTAAATGGTTTCAAAAGGTTATTACAAGTTTGGGGGCGTGATTGCAGGTGGTATTAATTTTAAATTTGTTCAGCTCAGCCAGCTGAGGTAATTAGCATTTTGTGAAATCGAATAATATTTCAGAACATATCACTGGGAACACCCCAATATTGCTTTGTATTAACGTCTTTTATATTATGGTAATTTTGCAAGTGCTAACACACTACCCGTTCTAAAAGTATATAATTACTTAAAAATAAACTAAAACTAGACTCTTGTGTTTTAAAAGATATAAGTTTTAATGTCCTTTAAAATGTAATGCTTTTTTTGGAGAAAAGACAATAGAAGAGCTCCTCTAAGCAATATCAGGAAAATTAAGTGTGCAGTTTTTGACAGAATACCAAATGCAAAGTAAAGTTGAAAACTCAAACAAATATAATTAAATTTTAAGCTATGCAACTCTAAATATTTTTGATGATTTCTCGGAAAACCAATAAAAGATAATATTCTTCAGATATTTGAGATAGTAAAAGATGCTTCAAAGATGCTTCGTTCCCCAGAAGAATTCCCCAAAGGCCACAAACCCCTCCCACTGCCCACCGCTCCCCCACACTTACATCGCTTTATAGCTCCCATTTAATCTATCGCTTCCCATCATGTTTTTGGCATCATTAATCTGGTCATTAAGTCCCACAGAAACCATGGGCCCGATACAACAGACCCACTCTCTACAGATACAGATACGTTTGCCGGGCCTAATCGTTTGATGGACATCGATGGACGGCGGACTCTTGTAAATGTAAAATCGAAAAATCCATTCGAAACAGGCGGGCAAAAAGCGCCCAAAACACTCATAAAACGGCTGATTGAAATGGCTTTATTTCGTAGACAAAATTTGTTGCTTCGTCGCTGTTGTTGTTTGGATAGATTTTTAATGATTTCGGCCTAATAAGCAACAATTGGTTGCACTGCCTTTCCCCTTTTTCCCTTGCCCTTTCCCCTTTTCCAGTTCCAATCAATGCACAGTTACAATTTCCGCTTTGGGGCAGCAAACAAATTTTCCTCTGGCCCCAACCAATATGCATCTTTTATTTTTCGTTGTGGGCCCGCGTTTATCAAAATTAATTGGAAATTTTCGTCGTTTTTTAACGACTTCTGGGTAAAAGTCATTTGAGCGCAGAGAGGTGGGGACTTCAAAAGGCCTGTTGCACATGTTACCAAGGGACTGAAGATCTCTTCGGGGGCTCATTTGGTTCTACGGCCTCCGAGTTTTACGGCCTTACAATATAATTTCCTGTCAGTCGGACGACGAATGCCAAAAACTACAATTCATAATTGCTTTCGAAATTTGTTTATAAACGCGTCCCACACATCGACCATCATCGGGGGACAACTTCATTTGAATTTTACGACAAGCATACTATAAAATATAAATATTTATGACCATCACTTACAACAAAGTTAATTTATTTAATAGTTTCACGATGTACACGACCCTTCCTATAGGCTTATGATATTTATTTGATTCTATAGATGTTTACGACTTCCAAAAAATGTATTTTGAAACTCTTCGCCGAGCTGATCGCTGAAAACATATAATTTTAATGAGATCCAGCGCTGTTTGAATGTGACGCAAGTTGGGAAATATATCTGCTTATCTAATTTATGTTCGCCCCATAATTTACTGAAAATATTTGGGAAACTTTAAGTATCATCGCTTCGTTCTTGCTGAGCGTTTGATGGTTTTTGAACAACAAAATAATCAATTGCTGTGTATTATTCGTAAATTATAAAGAGATCTTCGGTTGGTTCTCGGAAATTAAATAACAAGAAAAAAGATTTATGAGTAGTTTGTTTTAAAGGAAAATAAAAATATTTCAATAAGCGAACTGAAACTTCTTTAATGCTCGTGAAGAGCAAACTTTAAATATTACTCTTTAGAATTTGTAAGCACTGTTTGGGAAAAAGTCGGTGTATTTTTAAGAAAATTTCAATAAAATATGCTATATAATTAAATAAACAAGTCTCATAAAATTGTTCATTAATACTTTGCCTTAAATACTGTTAGAGACAGGCCAATTACGTTTGTCTCCTGTAGGTGAAATGACCCCCCTAACCTAATCAACTCCCTAATGCAAACACACACGCCACACGAAGCTCGATTAAACTCGTCTAACCCTTCTAAAACTCATCAGCATTGCCAATATGTGTGAAGATAGGGACATTTCTGTGGGAAAGCGGGGGAAAGTGGGGAAAAGTGGGAAAAAGCGGGGGAAAATGACACAGAGCGAATCCAATACTGCCTCCTTGTCAATTACAGCGACAGTTGCCATGGCCGTCACTCTGTCATCGCCGGGGCAAATGTCAAAAGCCCCATATAAAGCCGGTCCCATACGACCGCCGCCCACCAAAAAGCAGAGCCGCCAGACATGTTCCACTCGTTTTTGGGTAATTACATTTGCAGCCAGCCTGTACATCGACTTTTGTCAAACGCAAAGCTGCAAAATGTTGTGCGAAATCCAGCAGAACAAAGTGCAGGGGCTGGGATGCGAAACCGGAGAAAACATAAATCAATATCGGCTACAGGGCGGACGGATCCCGACATCAATCAGGGGCCCGCATCCAAAAAAAGGGAGCGCAGGAGACGCGGCCTCCTGAAATTAAGACGATGGATCAATGTATGACGAAGGCAGCACAAAAGAGGGTCGGACAAAAGAAGAAGGTCCGGGAACCGAAACCCTTCTGTTAGAAGGCGGTCCCCTCCGCCGCCTTTGTGGCCCCCTCCCCAGGCCCTTCCCCTCGATTCGATCGCGTGTTCTTCTTCAATTACAGCGCCATTATACCGAAAGCCGAAAACGTTTTACGGTGCGAAAGCCTGCGGACCCCCGAGGGCCAAGTTAACCCATTGAGAACTATGCCTGTCCCTAAAATATAAGATTACAAAATATTCCTATTATTAGAAACAAGAATGTTAGCCCTTTATCTACCACTTGAAATAATCATAAATATTGTGTCCATTAGAGCCTTTTGGTTCTACCTTCCTTTGATTGGAATAAAACATCGCTTAAGTTTAACAAATTTTAAAATGTTCTTTTTTGTTGCAATATAATGGATAAGCGTTTCGAGACTAAAATAAAAACATTATATCAAGGTATACAAAATTGCAGTTCAAATAACATTGGAAACCAAAATTTATATATGAACAAACCTTCAAGAAAGAATTATGAAATTTATTAGATAGTATTTTTAGTAAGAGTTTTTTCCATCTCGAAGGCAGATCTATATACATATAATTTCAATTCCAATTGCCATATAATGGATAAGCGTTTTGAGATTAAATTAAAAACATGATATCAAGTTATACAAAATGTCAGTCCTGATAACATTTGAATCCAAAATATTATTATCTTATTTTACTTTTGATCTTCAATATTTATATATGTATGAACAAAACTTCGAAAGGGAATTATGATATTTATTAGGTTATATTTTTAGTAAGAGTTTTTTCCATCTCGAAGTCAGATCTATATATAATTCCACATAGCCCCATTTGATCAAAGAGGGTTAAAGACAAGACGATCTTCGCGGGTTCCTTCCACTTGCCTTCGATCGCCGAAGAAAGAAAGAGCTTTGTGTTTTTTCTTTTTGCCTTACCCGCTCTCTGCAGCGTAATTCAGGATTCTCCTTGCTCTGTTATTATCGGCGGGTTTTTAGTTTGGGCCGGGGTTTCTTTTTTGGTTGCTTGTAGGTAATTGCCCTGATGTTCAGGCTCAGCAGGCGGCTTCTTCTGCGAAGCAAAAACTGGAAGGGGCAGCGGTCGGGATCAAATTTAAAAACAATCAAATTTTTTTCTGCTGCGGCTGTGCATAGAGGCAAATTAAAACCGGGTATTATCCAAACATGTGTATAATCAAAAATTGATGGTCGAGGGAGCAACAACCAGTCGAAATAAAACTGGTAAGGTGTAAGGCCAAAAGAAAGCTCTGAATTTGAGGCGTGGCAATCGCTGCAATTGAAGATGTT